GGGGGTGGGGGGGGGGGGGGGGGGGGGGGGGGGGGGGGGGGGGGGGGGGGGGGGGGGGGGGGGGTGGGGGGGGGGGGGGGGGGGGGGGGGGGGGGGGGGGGGGGGGGGGGGGGGGGGGGGGGGGGGGGGGGGGGGGGGGGGGGGGGGGGGGGGGGTGGGGGGGGGGGGGGGGGGGGGGGGGGGGGGGGGGGGGGGGGGGGGGGGGGGGGGGGGGGGGGGGGGGGGGGGGGGGGGGGGGTGGGGGGGGGGGGGGGGGGGGGGGGGGGGGGGGGGGGGGGGGGGGGGGGGGGGGGGGGGGGGGGGGGGGGGGGGGGGGGGGGGGGGGGGGGGGGGGGGGGGGGGGGGGGGGGGGGGGGGGGGGGGGGGGGGGGGTGGGGGGGGGGGGGGGGGGGGGGGGGGGGGGGGGGGGGGGGGGGGGGGGGGGGGGGGGGGGGGGGGTGGGGGGGGGGGGGGGGGGGGGGTGGGGGGGGGGGGGGGGGGGGGGGGGGGGGGGGGGGGGGGGGGGGGGGGGGGGGGGGGGGGGGGGGGGGGTGGGGGGGGGGGGGGGGGGGGGGGGGGGGGGGGGGGGGGGGGGGGGGGGGGGGGGGGGGGGGGGGGGGGGGGGGGGGGGGGGGGGGGGGGGGGGGGGGGGGGGTGGGGGGGGGGGGGGGGGGGGTGGGGGGGGGGGGGGGGGGGGGGGGGGGGGGGGGGGGGTGGGGGGGGGGGGGGGGGGGGGGGGGGGGGGGGGGGGGGGGGGGTGGGGGGGGGGGGGGGGGGGGGGGGGGGGGGGGGGGGGGGGGGGGGGGGGGGGGGGGGGGGGGGGGGGGGGGGGGGGGGGGGGGGGGGGGGGGGGGGGGGGGGGGGGGGGGGGGGGGGGGGGGGGGGGGGGGGGGGGGGGGGGGGGGGGGGGGGGGGGGTGGGGGGGGGGGGGGGGGGGGGGGGGGGGGGGGGGGGGGGGGGGGGGGGGGGGGGGGGGGGGGGGGGGGGTGGGGGCGGGGGGGGGGGGGGGGGGGGGGGGGGGGGGGGGGGGGGGGGGGGGGGGGGGGGGGGGGGGGGGGGGGGGGGGGGGGGGGGGGGGGGGGGGGGGGGGGGGGGTGGGGGGGGGGGGGGGGGGGGGGGGGGGGGGGGGGGGGGGGGGGGGGGGGGGGGGGGGGGGGGGGGGGGGGGGGGGGGGGGGGGGGGGGGGGGGGGGGGGGGGGGGGGGGGGGGGGGGGGGGGGGGGGGGGGGGGGGGGGGGGGGGGGGGGGGGGGGGGGGGGGGGGGGGGGGGGGGGGGGGGGGGGGGGGGGGGGGGGGGGGGGGGGGGGGGGGGGGGGGGGGGGGGGGGGGGGGGGGGGGGGGGGGGGGGGGGGGGGGGGGGGGGGGGGGGGGGGGGTGGGGGGGGGGGGGGGGGGGGGGGGGGGGGGGGGGGGGGGGGGGGGGGGGGGGGGGGGGGGGGGGGGGGGGGGGGGGGGGGGGGGGGGGGGGGGGGGGGGGGGTGGGGGGGGGGGGGGGGGGGGGGGGGGGGGGGGGGGGGGGGGGGGGGGGGGGGGGGGGGGGGGGGGGGGGGGGGGGGGGGTGGGGGGGGGGGGGGGGGGGGGGGGGGGGGGGGGTGGGGGGGGGGGGGGGGGGGGGGGGGGGGGGGGGGGGGGGGGGTGGGGGGGGGGGGGGGGGGGGGGGGGGGGGGGGGGGGGGGGGGGGGGGGGGGGGGGGGGGGGGGGGGGGGGGGGGGGGGGGCGGGGGGGGGGGGGGGGGGGGGGGGGGGGGGGGGGGGGGGGGGGGGGGGGGGGGGGGGGGGGGGGGGGGGGGGGGGGGGGGGGGGGGGGGGGGGGGGGGGGGGGGGGGGGGGGGGGGGGGGGGGGGGGGGGGGGGGGGGGGGGGGGGGGGGGGGGGGGGGGGGGGTGGGGGGGGGGGGGGGGGGGGGGGGGGGGGGGGGGGGGGGGGGGGGGGGGGGGGGGGGGGGTGGGGGGGGGGGGGGGGGGGGGGGGGGGGGGGGGGGGGGGGGGGGGGGGGGGGGGGGGGGGGGGGGGGGGGTGGGGGGGGGGGGGGGGGGGGGTGGGGGGGGGGGGGGGGGGGGGGGGGGGGGGGGGGGGGGGGGGGGGGGGGGGGGGGGGGGGGGGGGGGGGGGGGGGGGGGGGGGGGGGGGGGGGGGGGGGGGGGGGGGGGGGGGGGGGGGGGGGGGGGGGGGGGGGGGGGGGGGGGGGGGGGGGGGGGGGGGGGGGGTGGGGGGGGGGGGGGGGGGGGGGGGGGGGGGGGGGGGGGGGGGGGGGGGGGGGGTGGGGGGGGGGGGGGGGGGGGGGGGGGGGGGGGGGGGGGGGGGGGGGGGGGGGGGGGGGGGGGTGGGGGGGGGGGGGGGGGGGGGGGGGGGGGGGGGGGGGGGGGGGGGGGGGGAGGGGTGGGGGGGGGGGGGGGGGGGGGGGGGGGGGGGGGGGGGGGGGGGGGGGGGGGGGGGGGGGGGGGGGGGGGGGGGGGGGGGGGGGGGGGGGGGGGGGGGGGGGGGGGGGGGGGGGGTGGGGGGGGGGGGGGGGGGGGGGGGGGGGGGGGGGGGGGGGGGGGGGGGGGGGGGGGGGGGGGGGGGGGGGGGGGGGGGGGGGGGGGGGGGGGGGGGGGGGGGGGGGGGGGGGGGGGGGGGGGGGGGGGGGGGGGGGGGGGGGGGGGGGGGGGGGGGGGGGGGGGGGGGGGGGGGGGGGGGGGGGGGGGGGGGGGGGGGGGGGGGGGGGGGGGGGGGGGGGGGGGGGGGGGGGGGGGGGGGGGGGGGGGGGGGGGGGGGGGGGGGGGGGGGGGGGGGGGGGGGGGGGGGGGGGGGGGGGGGGGGGGGGGGGGGGGGGGGGGGGGGGGGGGGGGGGGGGGGGGGGGGGGGGGGGGGGGGGGGGGGGGGGGGGGGGGGGGGGGGGGGGGGGGGGGGGGGGGGGGGGGGGGGGGGGGGGGGGGGGGGGGGGGGGGGGGGGGGGGGGGGGGGGGGGGGGGGGGGGGGGGGGGGGGGGGGGGGGGGGGGGGGGGGGGGGGGGGGGGGTGGGGGGGGGGGGGGGGGGGGGGGGGGGGGGGGGGGGGGGGGGGGGGGGGGGGGGGGGGGGGGGGGGGGGGGGGGGGGGGGGGGGGGGGGGGGGGGGGGGGGGGGGGGGGGGGGGGGGGGGGGGGGGGGGGGGGGGGGAGGGGGGGGGGGGGGGGGGGGGGGGGGGGGGGGGGGGGGGGGGGGGGGGGGGGGGGGGGGGGGGGGGGGGGGGGGGGGGGGGGGGGGGGGGGGGGGGGGGGGGGGGGGGGGGGGGGGGGGGGGTGGGGGGGGGGGGGGGGGGCGGGGGGGGGGGGGGGGGGGGGTGGGGGGGGGGGGGGGGGGGGGGGGGGGGGGGGGGGGGGGGGGGGGGGGGGGGGGGGGGGGGGGGGGGGGGGGGGGGGGGGGGGGGGGGGGGGGGGGGGGGGGGGGGGGGGGGGGGGGGGGGGGGGGGGGGGGGGGGGGGGGGGGGGGGGGGGGGGGGGGGGGGTGGGGGGGGGGGGGGGGGGGGGGGGGGGGGGGGGGGGGGGGGGGGGGGGGGGGGGGGGGGGGGGGGGGGGGGGGGGGGGGGGGGGGGGGGGGGGGGGGGGGGGGGGGGGGGGGGGGGGTGGGGGGGGGGGGGGGGGGGGGGGGGGGGGGGGGGGGGGGGGGGGGGGGGGGGGGGGGGGGGGGGGGGGGGGGGGGGGGGGGGGGGGGGGGGGGGGGGGGGGGGGGGGGGGGGGGGGGGGGGGGGGGGTGGGGGGGGGGGGGGGGGGGGGGGGGGGGGGGGGGGGGGGGGGGGGGGGTGGGGGGGGGGGGGGGGGGGGGGGGGGGGGGGGTGGGGGGGGGGGGGGGGGGGGGGGGGGGGGGGGGGGGGGGGGGGGGGGGGGGGGGGGGGGGGGGGGGGGGGGGGGGGGGGGGGGGGGGGGGGGGGGGGGGGGGGGGGGGGGGGGGGGGGGGGGGGGGGGGGGGGGGGGGGGGGGGGGGGGGGGGGGGGGGGGGGGGGGGGGGGTGGGGGGGGGGGGGGGGGGGGGGGGGGGGTGGGGGGGGGGGGGGGGGGGGGGGGGGGGGGGGGGGGGGGGGGGGGGGGGGTGGGGGGGGGGGGGGGGGGGGGGGGGGGGGGGTGGGGGGGGGGGGGGGGGGGGGGGGGGGGGGGGGGGGGGGGGGGGTGGGGGGGGGGGGGGGGGGGGGGGGGGGGGGGTGGGGGGGGGGGGGGGGGGGGTGGGGGGGGGGGGGGGGGGGGGTGGGGGGGGGGGGGGGGGGGGGGGGGGGGGGGGGGGGGGGGGGGGTGGGGGGGGGGGGGGGGGGGGGGGGGGGGTGGGGGGGGGGGGGGGGGGGGGGGGGGGGGGGGGTGGGGGGGGGGGGGGGTGGGGGGGGGGGGGGGGGGGGGGGGGGGGGGGGGGGGGGGGGGGGGGGGGGGGGGGGGGGGGGGGGGGGGGGGGGGGGGGGGCTTGAGGCTGATTGTTGTTCGTGTGGTGAGGGCGGGGGTGCGGGTATGTGGTCTTGGGGTGGGGGTGGTTGCGGGTGTGGGTGTTGGTGCTGGGACTTTGGTTTTTGGCTGTTTGTAGCGTTTGTGGTTGATTACTTTTTGTTGGTTATTTTTTTTTGTGTGTGATTTTGTTTCTTTTTGTTTTGAAGATTTTAGTTGTTTTTTGTTATATTTGTAAACTTTTTGATGTTTTTTGGTGTAAAGTTATTTGTCTTTTTTTTTTTGTTTTTTTTTTTGTTTTATTTTTTTTTTATTTTTGTTTTTGTTTTTTTTTTTTTTTTTTTTTTTTGTTTTTTTTTGTTGTTTTTTTTATATTTTTTTTTTTTTTTTGTTTTTTATTTGTTATTGTTGTTTTTGTTTTTTATTGGTTTCATCGTCGATGATGTGACTCAGACTAAAATTACTAGGTAGGAGGAAGTTCTGCACGCACAGGGCCAAGTGGGATTATAGAAGGGAATAGTACTAAGATATGTCGGCTAGAAGAGGAAGAAAAGGATAGGGGAAAGGGGTTACAGTCAAAAAGAGGGGATAGTAAAAGTCAGAGAAATACAACCGCGCTAAGATAGAGTTCCAGAGGTAGGAAATAATTGAACAGGAAGGGACAAGTAAGAGAATAAAGACGATTGAGGTAAGACAATATGTTAAGGGGAGGGGGTTAACGTAGGCACATTAAGAACTATAAAAAGAGATGGTATCTACAGAGAGGAGGGGATTTAAGAAACAAGATAGACTGGGATAAAGAGTTAGAAGATAGGACTAGAGGAAGGACGAAGGTAAATAGGGTAATGAGAGGTAAGACAGATAATTAGCAACATAAAAGATGAATTTGGAATAATGTACAAGAGAACGAAGTGTACAAGGGAGAGTCATAAGAA